AATAGAATACAGGTAGTGCTCAGGTTATGATGCAATTGGGACTGGAATTTCTGTCACTAAGTGATGCAATCCTAAAGCGTGATGACACATGGTCACATTGCTTATCAACAGCAATCTCAGCTGTCCCTGTTGCCATTGTTAAGTGAGGATTGCAGATCATTAAGCAAGCACCTCACATGACCTCAACATGGGAAGTGATACCAAAACTGCTCCAAGCAAGCAGGCTGTTGGGCAAAGCTGGGAGTTGGTAGGCAAGAGCCACAGTTGAATGCTACAGAGTGCGGGCAAGTGGGTGCTGTGAGTGGACACTGCAGAGCACAAGATCCCCATGCCACCCAGCGGTTCCTTGGAAGAAAAAGCAGTGGGAATGGGAGTGACTTGCAAACTCTTGCCCGCTTCCCCATTGAATCTGCTTGTTGTGGTGCTGGCAGGGAAGGCCAGAAATGGTGATCAGGTGACCAAAGAACACTGCAATTGTTTTAATTATGAGACAGTTGATTGTGGGAACACTGATGGCTACAACTTCTAGAACTGATTGTAAGTCGTCCCCCTCTCCCCCCCCCAGCATTCTCATAAAAACTATGATAAATCTGGAAAAATATTGAAGTGCAGACATCCTGACTTCCAAAGTATTTTTTGACAGGGCTACAGCGTTAACGTACAGTTGTGAAAGTGGGATAATCAGAAAGCCTGAATAAAGGTAAATTGAAGACTATGAATTGTGCTTCTGGAGAAGATAAGGTAGCTGATAGCTGCAAGAAGGGGAAAAATAATTCAATCTTAGATGAACTTAAGCTAGACTGCATAACAAAAACATTAGGCTAAAACTTACATACTTCGAACATGCAAGAATAAATTCAAGAGTATTTGGAGAAGATCCAGTTGCTCGGAAAAATCAGCCTTTGAAAAGGCTAACAGCAGATAAGGTGGAGAGATGTTATCATTGATGACACAAGCATGACCACACAAAAGTTTGAAGAGCTCAAGTTATGGAATGAATAACAAAAGGCAACTGGATAACAGCCAATTGTTTTGTACTACAAATACCTTAGTCAGGTACTCTGCAAATTGCAGTCCAAAGCAACTGGAATAAATAAATTGCTTATCATGGAAGATATATTACTCAACAGAGTTTTACGTTGTGCTGGAGATACAATTTTTTACTGGCAGCAATTAAAGCCAAAAACACATATTTGTGTTTTCTATTCCTTCTCAATGCAGTCACTGAAGCTATTTGTTCAGATGCTAATTACTCCCAAAACAAATAGTCATTTTTAACAAGCCCTGGAAAAAGAATGGGATTGATTGAGATGAGCTAAGAAAAAGAAAGCTAAGCTTTCTTTTCCTCATAACTTTGTCCTGATTTTAGTGGAGAGGTGGGGAAGTTTGTGATATTATTGCTACTATTTTAAATAGCGGGCATATCACACAGCATGCAAATGGACTTCCCCTCAGAATCTTGATTTTAGTGTGTACACAGGATGAAGAAATTTATACAAACAGTGATTGGGCAATATAAATATATAAAACCACATAAATATAATAAGAATAACAAAGATATGTATAGGGGATCTGGAGTTTGGTTGTGTGATTTATGTATAATAATAAATAATGATTGTATCTTAGGGATGAGAAACTAATTAGATAGAAGTATTATTGTATCTGTAGTTGTATCTTTTGGATATTTTTCTTGCCATCAAAAAGGTCCTGTATTATTTAAATTACTTCTAGCATATATATGTCTTCTGTCCATTTCAAAAACTTGTTTACTGGGATACATTTTCTCTCTGCTTTGCCTAATGTATACCTGTCTACATTATGATAAGTTTTACTACAGCAAGACCAGACTTTCAGGTTAATTTTAGCATTGCCTTGTAATTATTTATTTTAATTAATAAATGAAGTCATATTTTGGTTCACCTAAAAGCAGGAAAACAGTGGTAATACCTGGAAGCAGTGTAACACTGCTTTATTTGGGGTTTTTTTTTGCAAGGAAAATAATCTTGGAATCTGCAGCGTGTAAATTTAAATACAATAGAGAAGTATTCTGTTTTCTTCCTCTTTGCTTCAGAAGTTTGTAAAGATGAGCAGTTGCCTAAAAGGCAGGGGAGAATGGGATATATTGAACATTCTCCCTTATCTTTCCTCTCATTACAGTTCATAGCTAGTCCTAATTTGGCCTGAGAAATCACCTAAATGTGAGAAATATTTTAGAAATTGGAACATAAACAAGCATTGTAGAAAGCCACTTTATCAAGCGGAGTGCTCTTTAAGGATCAAGCTAAACTGCACTGGATTTGCTATAGCAATTATATTGATTTTATCAAAAATGGATTGGATTTTATCATTGTCACTTCCATTTTTATTTCCTCAAGTTCTTATTTTTTATTTATTTATGTTTTGTTTTTTAACCCTGCCTTTATTATTTTTATAAATAAGTCAAGGTGGTGAACATATCTAATACTCCTTCCTTCTATTTTCCCCATAACAACCACCCTGTGAGGGTAGCTTGGCTGAGATGATTGGCCCAAAGTCACCAAGCTAAGGTTTCATGGATAAGGCAGAACTAGAACTCACAATCTCCTAGTTTTTAGCCTGGTGCCTTAATCACTACTAGACCAAATTTGGTTCCCTTTAGATTTTTCCCCAAAACATCTCTTGCTTTCTGCACAAAGTTCAATCTGACTCTTTGTCTTTAAAAGTAAAAATCAGCCCTTTCAACTTACCTCATTTAACTGGAATGTTGTTCTGTTTAAATTTATCAGAAAAATAATCTTTTCACTTACATAGTATTCTTACTGGAATTTTCTTAAGTACGATTTCATTTGCATTATCAATCTGCAATATAGTATTAAAATATTGCCGTAAAATATGATCTCTGATCTTATTCCTGGCAGAGTGTGCACAAAGATGCCCCTTTGAACAATTCATAATTTTGCAAAACTTATATTAATCTTACAAAACTTATCAGTCTCTGGGTCAATATTATCTTCCTCCCAATCCAGGAAATTAGACAGATTTAACAATCTTTTTTCTGATATCTTCTCCATGGCCTTCTGGAATTGCTCTAAATCTTAAATAAAGTTATTTTTTTCTCTCCGTTCTCTCCAATAATGCCAAATCCTTTCCCATCTCTCTATTTATAATTTATGCTTTATTTCCCAAAACTTCCACTTGATTTAGTTCTTCGAATCTTTTATTTCCCCAAAGATTCTTTAATCTTAACTTCTTGTTTTACATCTTTTTTTATTCCTGGAAATCCTTCTTCCATTTGATATTGGCAATCATTACAATCATCTTCTTGCCAATTTCCTCAAAACATTTTCTGCAATAAATCTGGTGAAACGTCCTTCTCTGTAAATTGTTCTAGTGAACCTTCCCCATCTTTCTCCTAAATTGACAGCTTTTCTTATGGTTGCCTTTATGAGAAAATAAGTCAGTTACATTTGTAAAAGTAAAGGGCAGGTTTCTCCTCCCCACCCCATTTTGCTTTTCTCTGTCTTTAGTATTTTAGTTTCAATTACACTCCATAGCTATAATTACAATTTAGCTCATATTATTATTTTCTTGTTCAGTAAAATCTACCAGTTACCTACCTACTGTTACCGAGTTACCTATTTACACTCAGGGCTTTTGCACCAGAGACAAATTCTCTGTGTGTCTAATCACACTTGGCCAATAAAGTTATTCTATCCTATCCTACCCTACCCTACCCTACCCTATCCTATCCTATCCTATCCTATCCTACACCTATTCTATCTCTATCCCTATCCCACTCCACTCTCCTTAAACAATCTTCATTCTCATGTCTTGTCTATTACTCTAATTAATTTTGCTATTTTGAAGGCTCTTTCATCTGAATTTTAAAAACAAAACAAAACACTGACCCCTTTATCCATTTAAAAGTTTCTTGGGTCAAAATGTTACTTTTTAATGTTTACATTAAAGCCCTTCAAAGTAGCTTCCCCCCCCTCTGCTTAATTTCAGAAAGAAGGTGCTTGCTTTGATTTTCATTCCTGTTTGGAGTATCTGTCTTTAGTTGTGAATGGGTTAAATCCAAAAGTATTTAAGAAAGTGAAGCTTTGGCCAGTCAAAAATGTCTGGCAAATGTCCAAATACCATAGTTCAGTCTTCCTATATAATTGACAGGCATACTGTTTTTCTTAATATTGGGTGGTGTTTTTTTTTGAGGATGATAAAATCATTGTGGTAGGAAAAATATGGACAGGCCAACATCTTATAAATAAAATCAAGCATAATATTAACATGTGTTTTCTTTCTTACTAGGTTGGCCTCCGGCAGCTGGATATGTCATTACTGTGTCAACTCTACTCTCTTTATGAGTCAATTCAGGAATATAAAGGTGCCTGCCAAGCAGTATCAAGTGCAGACTGTGCATATGCACTGGAAAATGGCTTTTTTGATGAGGAAGAGGAATTTTTTTAAAAAGAATATATCTTAGGAAAGTCTTTTTTTTGGAGTGCAGCTGGAGTTGGCAGTTAAGAAATGAGCAGTGTTAATTGGAACTCAAAGTACATTCTTCCTTCTGCTCAAGAAGAATTGCTCCATTTATTTCTGGCATGCTGTTTAACCCAGGTTACACATTATGTAAATTCTGCGCTAGGAAAGTTAATGTGCAATGAATTTTGAAGCCTCCCAAAGCATGCTTGACAGGTCATGTCAGTGTAATTTGTGCACAGGGTGTTTCTAGATGGCAGATGTTGAAAACTTATCTTTTTATAAGCAGAACTGTGTCACTGTACATGAAATCTGCGTCATCTCAAATATTCTGACATGTAAAGTGTAGTTATATAGTTTGTGTGTTTGTAATCACTGAATAGATCTCATTAACATCACCTTTTTAAAGCCTCTGATATGAGGGATTGGAATTTTTCCTGTTCTATATACCATAAAGGATCAATTCTGTAACATCACAACAGTTTTAACTACTTCTAAAGTTTTTACTTGGATCGTTGATCCAGTTCCCTTTTTTTCTTGCTAATGTCAGAATGATTTTTATTTAAAGCAAGGTAGTAAAATTGTGTAACCCTTCCTATATTTTTTCTCAAATGCAATAAGAACAAATCAAAGCAGTTCATTGTACATCTTGCAGCTTCATTAGTTTCCATAACTGCAATTTAGTTGTTCGTTATCAAGTTAGTAATTTAAGTTTAACATACATGGATTAGCAGCATCATTTGTAATACTAAAATGTTTGGAAGACAAAATGGTCAATTTGTTTCTTACAGTCCAAAAAGACCTTAATGTATATGTTATTATATACACTTTTGTTTTTTGTACTATAACAAATGAACGTTTAAACTGGAACTGTAATTTGTTTAGCTTTTTCATGACATGTAATTTAGCGCTTGGAGGTAGCCAAGGAAACTTGCATGGCTGCCTTGGTGGACTAAAGTGAATTCAGAAACCCACAGCCTACCTCACATGAAGAAGTTTATAGCAGAAGACGAAAACCTCTGGACTGGTCTTGGGCATAATGGTCAGGACCTGATTGGTTTCAGCTTCCTGGAATACTTTCATAAATTATATATGCATCAGGAAAATCTTTTGCTATGTAGGAATGTGACATCATGTAAATAACTGATTTGTTTTCACGTGGAATACCTATTTTAAGATCTGAAACATTTTCAACCTCAAAGGAGAAAAGTGAGATGACAAATAATAAGCATGTTAACTTTGTGTCCAAAGGGAACAACAAAATGTGTAAAAAGGACAATCACTTTCATACACTTATTATAGCAGCTTCTATAATCTATTGTGTTGTTGTAGTTTACAATATATCCATCCATATTATGTGATCTTGCCAGTTCTGTCACCAAATACTTCTGTTCTCCTGCCCCATTAAAAGAGATCTCTGCTTTCAAAATCTAAAGAGTCCAACTGAACAAACAAATAATCTCACAAACAAATAATCGGGGAAATGGATGGCATATTAAACACATAAATAAAGAATAACAGCCTAGCAAGCAGCCCAATCACCTCTTTTTGGAACTTTTTTTTTACTAGCCTTATTTTTTGTGCTGATAAGACTCTTTCAATAACATTGGGGAAATTGGAGACTACACCCTTGTTGACGAAATCAATTATTTATTTAGCGTATGATGGTTGAAATAAATGATACACTGGTTTTCTAGATTTAACTATGGGCTGGCTTCCATTAAAAGTAGGGCAAAACATATCCAATTTAGACTGAATCCAACTAATGTAATAAGGATTCGAATAAACATGTTATCCTCCAGAGACTGGTGAATTGTAATCCTTATCATGTTCAGTATTGAGAATGTTGGGCTAGTTTGCTGGAAAGTATAGATCTGCAACGTGTGACAGGCTGTGTTTCTACCCGGGCAAATATGTTGTGTTCTCGTGGCCTTGATTCATGACATGTTTCCAGATTGATAAAAGAGTTCAGAGACTCCTCATTTAGGTTCCTTTGTTACCAATGAAATATCGCAGTTCTTGGTCCATAAGACAACAGTTATAAAGTTTCCACACCAATGCTTAAGAGGGAGAATGGTTCATTGACAGAATTCTTGTAACCCTGTCTTGTTCTATCCAGTAATTCTTGGTAAAGAATTTGAGAATTGCACATGGAGAAAAAAAATCACTTGATTTTGGCAGATGCCACCAAGTCTGATATAAAGCTGTTTTTAAGGAGCAATTATGCCAGCTACACTGACTTAAAAGGGCTGACAATGTCTTCATTTGTTAGAATGGTTATCCCAGCTTAACTACTCTGCATACATATTCTAGAAAGTTTGGTCAATTAGTCAAGGGCCTGGGAATTCTGGGAACTTGTTTCAGCAAATGGTGATGCCACATTGGGAAGGTAGTGTCAGAACAACACAAAAGACATCATGTTTTAGGAGTTGCTCAGCCATTGCATAAAAGATGTGCACAAATGAGGCTTAAGAGAAGAATGGCAATGTAGTAATTCTACAAGAGCTGCTTGTTCTGTCACAACTAAAGGGGGATGTGAAGTGTAGAGGATACCTTAAAAATCATGGATACAGATTCTAATACTGTAGTCTCAAATGCTGAAGCTTGTTTAATGTCTTTGCTGGTATTTGGCTGCTGCAGTTGTTAAGTGAATCATTAGTAATATGGTTGTTAAATGATTTAGCTTCGCCACTCACTTTGCTTGTCAGAAGGTCACAAAAGGTGATCACATGAACTCAGGACCCACAAAAACACATGCCCGTTGCCAAGCACCCAAAATCTGATCTTGTAATTACAGGGTAAATAGAATGGAATAGAACAGAACAGAATAACATTTGGAAGTGCCTTGGAAGTCTTTTAGTCCAACTCCCTGCTTAGGCAGGAAACCCTATAGCATTTCAGACAAATGGTTATCCAATCTCTTCTTCAAAACCTCCAGCGCTGGAGCATTTACAACTTCTGAAGGCAAATTGTTCCACTGATTAATTGTTCTAACTGTCAGGAAATTTCTCCTTAATTCTAAGTTGCCTTGATTAGTTTCCACCCATTGCTTCTTGTCCTGCCCTCAGGTGCTTTGGAGAATAGCTTGACTCCTTCTTCTTTGTGGCAGCCCCTGAGATATTGGAACACTGCTATCATGTCACCCCTAGTCCTTCTTTTCATTAGATTAGACATACCCAGTTCCTTTCTTTGTATGTTTTAACCTCCAGTCTCCTAATCATCTTTGTTGCTCTTTTCTGCGCTCTTTCTAGAGTCTCAACATCTTTTTTTATATCGTAGCGACCAAAACTGAGTGCAGTATTCCAAATGTGGCCTTACCAAGGCATTATTAAAGTGGTATTAACACTTCACATGATCTTGATTCTATCCCTCTGTTTATGCAGCCTAGGACTGTGTTGGCTTTTTTGGCAGCTGCAGCACAACAGCAGTTGTGTGAAAAATGTCATGTCACTTTTTTCAGTGCCACTGTAACTCTGAATGATCACTAAATGAATGGTTGTAAGTTGAGGACTACCTGTATTAGTTATAGTCCAACAGACACGTTCAAATCTGAAGTGTCATTGCAAGAAATGGTAACATCAGAACCAGGATTTTAAAATTACAGACTGCAATAGACTTACAGTCTAAAGGGGAAAATATGATTGCTGAACGTATGTATTTTGTTACATGTTCCTTTAATAATATTATTGTAGGAAATTAAAATGACAGGAAATCCGTATCCTATTCTTTGAACTTTGCGGAAAGTTCACTGTACATCTGAAAGAATTCTTGAAAAGCTGTATTAGCCCTTCCTGTGCCCATATCTCCAACACAAAAGCAACTACAACTTCCTGACTGTATGAAATCCAAAAAGGAAAAGAACTATAGCCTAACCTTGGTATCCAGACAGCTGATTTAAAATGACAGACTACGGAATAATCCCCAGTCCAATGGGCTGTATGCACTATTTCAAATTTATGTTATTTGATTACTTATTTCCGGCTCTCCCAACTTTTAAAGAAATGACAGTGCAAAATGCACATATCTGAAACAATGCATATTCTAATTCAACTTTCACAAAAAGAAGAAAGATCAAATTTAGATAAAATTCTCTATAACCATACTTGAAAAGAAGGGCTTGCTCAGGGCAGGGCTGTTTTGTAAGCCTTCCAGCAGGAAGTTTCTGATGTATGGGCTGTCCTCCTTCTTTATGTGTGATGAACCACTAGGATAATAGAACCTGAATCCCTTCTGTTTGCTTTGGGACTCACGACAGGAAGAATATGGCTGCCTAAATCAAGTGTGGTACTGATGTTTGTGATGAGCTGATCTCTTCTGGCCTGTCTTATGGAAGGAGGAATTTGGGGGAAGTGCTCTTTTCAATCTGAGTCCATTATTTCTCTCGTTTGGACGTTTGTCAGCATGGCAGTCACCACAATATCTAACTGGTTGAGATCAATCAGCTGTTTGTGAATTTACATATATGGTATTTCTTTCTGAATAAAGGATGCAATGGTTATTCTGTAGGCAATTCTCAATCCACTGGACTCAAAGCTAGCAAGTACAATAGATTATTTACAGAGGTACACAGATTTCAATAATTAAATATTGTAAATATTTAACTGACCACAAGGTAGGGTGCTGTAGTTAAAAAGGTAGTCTAGGACCAGTCCTTTTGATGGTGGATCTTTTGATAAAGGCCTTTAGAATCATCTATTTAATTTGGCCTTTTACTGTACTATATTCTCATCAAGGCCAATAAATACTGTCAAGTACTTTGTCATGTCCTAAAGTGTTGTTGAAAACAAATTCTCATTGTTCATTCCTCTTTTGCCAGCAATAGTAAAACTAAACATCCTATTGCATACAATGAGAGAAAATACACTTAAACCAACTGGGCACTACAGTAGAACAAACAAATCCACAGGTCTCCCCAATACAATCACATCCTCTTTGGGGAATTTCCAAAGTTGGAGATTCCTATTCCCAGAAAATGATGGCCCTGAGTAGGAAGGAAGAGAGGGAATCCCCTTTGTAATCCATCCTCTATGTTAATCTGACTAATACAGTAAACTGTTATCTATCCAATTTTCAATGCTTGAATTCAATAAATATACATATTTAAACCTTTATCCCAATCAGATTTTAGGCCAGCTATTCATACTCAGCAGTCTTGGACCAGCTAGTGACTTATTTGTTGCCAAATAGAGAAAGAGTAGTTTTTCCTCTTGATGATCTGTCGGCTTATCTATAAAATGTAAATTCTGCTGCTAGGAACACATTCCTATGAAGCTACTCAAAGTTCAGATTGCTCAACATGTTGTCTGGTATTATTTCTACAGACATCTGGCATTCTTTTCCAATTCAAAAAAGAAAAAAAGAAAAGAAAAGAATCTCAGGAAAGGCAAGGAAATGGCTTCCTGCTGCGAAATATCCCTTACTTGTCCAAAAAAATAAATAAAAAAAAATCTAGCCATCTTATGTTAGTATTTTAAAATTTAGTCCAGATTTCTTCGGGGTGAGCCCTACCATATTTGAATACTATAAAGGAATACAAATCTGATTTTAATCTACATGCATGGGTTTGTTTGGTTTTTTGCATTTTCTGATATAAAAAAAAAACAGTACAGAGAAACAGAACATAGAATTTCATTCCATTATAATAACTTTTCTGATAAACTGAGAGTTTGTATCATCTCTTCCTCCTCCACTCTCCATAATTCCTTAGTCTGAAATCTTGTATATTTTCCTTAGGGTCACTCCATTAAGAAAGACAGTTTGATGTAATAGTTTAAGGCATAAGGCTAGATAGTGGAGAACTGAATTCTAGTTCCATCTTGGTTATGAAGCCAGCTGAGTAACCTCGAGCCAGACACACTCTCTCAGCTCCAGAAGGAGGCAATGGCAAACCACTTCTGAAATCCTGGTTATGAAAACTGAAGGGACTTATTTAGGCAGTCACCAGAAGTAACAATTCCTCAAAGGCACCAAACTACAACGATACCAACCACCCAGCAACCATTAAACACAGTTTTCTTTTTGAATAATATAGGTTTGTATTGTTACATTAAGAGCAATACAGGAAACTACAGGAAACAGCTGCAGGGCATCCCAAAGAGGCAGTTTATGTGGGGCCTGTTGGCCTGTGAATAAGAGCAATAGCACTTGGACACATATACTGCTCCATAGTGCTTTACAATAGTCTCTGAGCATTTACAAATGTCAGCATATTTTCCCCAACACTCTGGGTTCTCATTTTATCCACCTCAGAAGGATAAAATGGTGAGTCAACCTTGAGTTGGTCAGGATCATGCCCCTGGCTGTGGGAGGAGTTAGCCTGCAATCCTGAATTTTAACCACTTGCATCACCATGGCACCATGGATAAAGCATCAAGATGGACATTTCACTGATTTAATTATCAACATCTAGAAAATGCAGACACTTTGCCTCTTTAACTCTGACTGTTCTAACTTTGGCTTAGGATTTTGCCTCTTTACTCCTCCATTTCTCCAGAGCACTGAGAAAGTAACAGGAAGAAGTACAATCCCTTACGTTATGTTAAGCTCAAGGCAATGAGATCCTGAATAGACAGGGTAAAAAAGGTGAAGGCAGAAAAGGTTATATAGCATGCCATTCCTGTACAGGTTATATACATGTACTTTGATCCTTTAATCATTACAATTCACTGACTTGGTAAGACCAACTGCCAATTCTCAAAATAGCTCTTGCCTTCTGTATAGTAGCTTAGAGGGGCCATGGTGGTGCAGTGGTTAGAATGCAATACTACAGCTACTTCTGCTAACTACTGGCAGCCTGCAATTTGGCAGTTCGAATTTCACCAGGCTGACCCATCCTTTCATCCTTCTGAAGTCGGTAAAATGAGGACCCAGATTGTTTGGGGCAATATGCTGACTCTGTAAACCGCTTAGAGAGGGCTGTAAAGCACTATAAAGCGGTATATAAATCTAAGTGCTACTGCTATTGCTGTTATTAGCTAGTCAGGAAAAATGAAAGTTCAGTACTGTATTTATCTAATATCTAGATATGACCTGGTTTTCTGAAACTTAAAAAAAACTGTTTTAACAATTAACTTTCAAAATATAATTATGGGTAGTCCTCGACTTACAATAGTTCATTTAGTAACCATTCAAAGTCACAATGAACAAAGTGACATATGACAGTTTTTCTCACCATTACAGCATCCCCATGGTCACGTGATCAAATTTCAGATACTTGGCAACTGACTGATATTTATGACAGCTGCTGTGTCTCATGTGAGTCATGTGAGCACCTTTTGTGACCTTCTGACAAGCAAAGTCAATGGAGATGCCAGATTCACTTAACAACTGTGGCAAGAAAAGTCATAAAATGGGGCAAGATTGACTTAACAAATGTTTCATTTAGCCACAGAAAGTTTGGGCTCACTTGTGGTCATAAGTTGAGAACTACCTTTAATCATAATACTCCTTCTTTTGTCATTACTCAAACCAATTCCAGAGCAGGATGTATGGGGGTTCCTTCCTCCTTGTTCTTCCTTCCTTCCTTCCTTCCTTCCTTCCTTCCTTCCTTCCTTCCTTCCTTCCTTCCTTCCTTCCCTCTTCCCCTCCCTCTTTAGCAGGCAGGTAAATGGCTACTTCTGGATGGGGCATGGACCAAGGGATTGCAAGACTGGGAACTGCCACAGAACTTTGAAAATGAAGGTTACATGACTGAGGCAGCAGCCCAGCAATGTAGCATGAACCAATAATACTGAAACAGGCATAGAGCTTCAATCCTTTGGGAGTCATGGGTCCTGGATTTTGGACACATACCATAAGTTAGCCCATTTGAGGTCTCTTTATTCAAAAACTGTTGGCCTATGATGCACCATTTTTATCCAGAAAATGTCATGACAATGAGGGGTTTGGTAATATATGGATAAACTTTGTTCCTTTATTTCTTTCTAATAAAGTCTTGTCACTTTCTTCATAATAAGAATAGTATTGATTAAACTTTAACTGTTAAAGATGATCTACTAATAGTTTTGCACATCCAAAACCTGCTTAGCTTTAAAATGATTTAAATTAGACAATATTGGCTCTTATTATCCTGTACTAGCCTAAATTGATTCCACAGTTTGGAATTGGAATTAAACATTCATATAAATTTAGATTTCCCCCCCCCCCTCAGTGATAGTCACATAATTTATTTCCACTGGAGCCATTTCAAGAGAGATAATTTAAAAATATTTTTCAAATCATTTTAGTGCAGATTCAGTTCATGTTCAGGTAACTTGTGAAGCTCAGAACAAAATAACACTTATTGGGAAGTGACTATAGTTCTCTACAACTTTTTCTGAGTAAACATCATAGGATGACATTGCCAAGCTTACTTTTAATGAAGCAGTAATAATATCAAATAGTATTTGTTCAATCATTTGCATACTTCTGTAACTTCACTGCCTTGAAGCTTACTCCTAAATATGTGGGTCTAATATTGTTTCTTAAAGAGACAGATTGCCTTTAGTCATAAAAACCCCTTTATTTATAAATATGTCTACAAAATTATATTTGTTCCTTGGAGGATGTATAAATATCAACTTAAAAGTATGAGTACTCCACAAATAAAAATATATTTCCAGTGTTTCCAGTAGCATTAATTGCCAGAAATATCAAACTGAAACTACTTTATTGTTATTTTATGCGTAGCTGTTAGAACACACCTTTAAGTCAAGCTGGTTTTTTTCTTGTTTTGTCACACACCTTTTTTTCTTTTAAATACAAAGCAATGCAGGAGGAGAAAAAACCAGAACAGCTATGTAATCTGAAACTATATAAAAGAGCAATATTCTTACTTCAACACAACACCATCACATCAAAAATAGCAGAATTGTTATAAAAATTAGATATCAGTGCATCACTCTTAAATTACTATGGGTCAGTTGGTTGGTTTGGCATAGAAAGTTTCATTTACATTCAGCATTTCTTTCTAAACTTTGCTTAGAATGATCAAATACTGACCGGTGATGAAGTGAATGATTTGAAACGCAGTATCTTCTACATCTTAAAATATTTTCACTATCATCCTAAGGAAACAAGATTGCCTCAGACATCCCATCCTATTTTCTGGAACAAGTAAATGATGCCATTTTCGAAAAGCAATCCATTCAAAATGACCATCAGGCACAGTTTGCGGCTAGTATTCAAAGTAACTGCAAAACAAAAGAAGAAGAGAATGTGATGGGGTTCCCATTAGGCTTCCATAACAATACGAAACAAATTAGTATGGACAAATGTTATTTCTGGCAAATGAGATGGATGACCTCGTTTTGGCTCAGAAGCTAAGCAGGGATGGGCTTGTTTAATATTTGGATGCCAAATCACCAAGGCTATAAACCTGACAGGGATGTTAAAAACAAATTAGAAGAAGGATTTGAAAGAGATTTCATTCTTGTAATGAATGAAGTGTATGGGGCTGAAAACAACATTTGGGGGGTGGGGGAACACAACAATAGAATGCAAATGTAAACCCAGTAATTTAATTCATAAAGATTCTGAATTGGAGTTCTAGCCTGGTTTGAGTCTAAGATTGTAAGTATAAGTAGGGGGCTTCATGTTTATTTTAGCAGGCTACCTTGTTTAAAGTTAGCTTTTCCTTCTAATCACCTGTAATAATTTATTTTTCAATAAAGGCTTCACAAAGGGAACAATTCCATATCCTTAGGAGATGACAGTGAGGTTTGTACATGCAGAGGAAGTTGTACTGATAAAGGCAAGGCAGCACATCTGTCACTGAAACTTGTACAGGTGAAACTCAAAAAATTAGAATATTGTGCAAAAGTTGATTTATTTCAGTAATGCAACTTAAAAGGTGAAACTAATATATGAGATAGACTCATTACATGCAAAGCAAGATAGTTCAAGCCGTGATGTGTCATAATTGAGATGACTGTGGCTTACAGCTCATGAAAACCCCAAATCCACAATCTCAGAAAATTAGAATATTGTGAAAAGGTTCAATATTCTAGGCTCAAAGTGTCCCACTCTAATCAGCTAATTAAGCCCAAACACCTGCAAAGGGTTCCTGAGCCTTTAAAGGGTCTCTCAGTCTGGTTCAGTAGGAATCACAATCATGGGAAAGACTGCTGACCTGACAGTTGTGCAGAAAACCATCACTGACACCCTCCATAAGGAAGGAAAGCCGGAAAAGGTAATTGCAAACGAAGTTGGATGTTCCCAGAGTGTTGTATCAAAGCACATTAATAGAAAGTTATGTGGAGGGGAAAAGTGTGGAAGAAAAAGGTGCATGGGATGACTGCATGGGATGACTGCAGCCTGGAGAGGATTGTCAGGAAAAGGCCATTCAAAAGTTTCACAAGGAGTGGACTGAGGCTGGAGTCAGTGCATCAAGAGCCACCACACACAGACGGATCCTGGACATGGGCTTCAAATGTCTTGTTCCTCTTGTCAAGCCGCTCCTGAACAACAAACATCAGAAGTGTCTTACCTGGGCTAAAGAAAAACAGAACTGGTCTGTTGCTCAGTGGTCCAAAGTCCTCTTTTCTGATGAGAGCAACTTTTGGATTTCATTTGGAAACCAAGGACCCAGAATCTGGAGGAAGACTGGAGAGGCACACACTGCAAGATGCTTGAAGTCCAGTATGAAGTTTCCACAGTCTGTGTTGATTTGGGGAGCCATGTCATTTGCTTCATTAAGTCCAGGGTCAACGCAGCCGTCTACCAGGAGATTTTGGAGCACTTCATGCTTCCTTCCACAGATGAGCTTTATGGGGATGCTGATTTCATTTTCCAGCAGGACTTGGCACCTGCCCACACTGCCAAAAGCACCAAAACCTGGTTCAATGACCATGGGATTTCTGTGCTTGGTTGGCCAGCAAACTCGCCTGACCTGAACCCCTTAGAGAATCTATGGGGCATTGCCAAGAGAAAGATGAGAGACATGAGACCGAACAATGCAGAAGAGCTGAAGGCCGCTATTGAAGCATCCTGGTCTTCCATAACACCTCAGCAGTGCCACAGGCTGATAGCTTCCATGCCACGCTGCATTGAGGCAGTAATTGCTGCAAAAGGGGCCCAAACCAAGTACTGAGTACATATGAACACTTATACTTTTCAGAGGTCCGACATTGTTCTATGTACAATCCTTGTTTTATTGATTGCATGTAATATTCTAATTTTCTGAGATTGTGGATTTTGGGTTTTCATGAGCTGTAAGCCATAATCATCACAATTATGACACATCATGGCTTGAACTATCTTGCTTTGCATGTAATGAGTCTATCTCATATATTAGTTTCACCTTTTAAATTGCATTACTGAAATAAATGAACTTTTGCATGATATTCTAATTTTTCGAGTTTCACCTGTACAATATGGTTAGTCTGTTGTGAGAAGGCAGTTTGTGACTCAGCAAGACATTAGATGAGGAAGCTGAATGTCTTGGAATCTATTGCCACTAAGGGATTCCCTTCTTCACCTGCAAAGGTATTCTATTATTTTTTTTAATATACAACTTGAAACACGTAATTACCACATAAATGAAAAGATAAAGGAAATCAAATCTGAATTATATAACTAGTTGACAAATTAATTGTAAAATCATAGGAGTATTGCATTTGTAATAAGCCTTTCCTTGCTGAGCACAGTATCAACATTAGAAAAATGAATAATTCAGTAATATTCAATTCTGGTATTCTTTTCAAATATAGCTATTCAATGTTAATAGTGATACCTATGCCCAAATCAGTATTATATTGGCATATGTTGTCGTTATTACATTTTATTTTAAAAACTTGACATTTGGAAAGTTTTTGTATCTGATAAAGACAAAATAGGAAAAAGAATTCAAAATTACTGCACCAGAAGTGATGTTGTTCAGGTTACTTAAAAACTCAGACACAATAGAGAATATAGTACAGTACTTAAGAACATATCTGAAATTTATTGCTATTTCATTGGCAAAGAATTAGAAAAATAAACAAATTCTAGGGTAGAAAAATATTTTGTATATGAATAATGCCACTCTTATTTATTTTTCCAAGACAAAATTAACAAAATCTAGATATAGAAACTAAACATTTGTTATATATTTAAAGTTTTAACCATGGTTTTTAACTAGAATCAAGGATTGTGTTTGCATTTTTGCTGTCTTTTGCATACTATATCAATTTCTATGTATTTAGGGTTTTAACAAAGAAATGAAATGCCTCTTTCAAGAATTTCAGTTCTCTAAATACAGCTTCCTTCCCTAAATCTTACTGCTATATGTCTATCTGTTTCAAGTAGTGGAAACTCTGCTGGAAAATCTACCCCTGAACAGCATGACTGTAATAGTGAAGTTAAATTAGAAAAATACCTCTAATTGCTTGAAAGTTTGAGGTCAACACAAACACTTTAATGAGCTTGAGACACAAATCAGTGTAGTCATGCTCCCAAATAACTGCTGGAATCAGTAGAAGTTTTCCATAGCTGGATAACAGCAATGCTTTCAGAAGAAATACAAAATCTGCCTTGGTTTTCAGGACAGCAGATTTTACTAACCACAGAGCAGTGAAGATGCCAGTCAAAAAGGCAGTTTGTTCTGTATGAGTAGAAAAAAAATCATTCAGGGAAAAGAGGTGATATCATAAAAAGTTCCTTAATTAAATAGCTATATAGTATTTTAGTACATCTTACACACATGCATTTTTAAATTTTCTTTTGGAAGGCATGCATTTGGTTTGGATTAGGCCTAAGAACTTGTAATTTAGGTATTGTAGTTTCAAGCCACTTTAACGTGTGAACTGTCCAACCCTAACTAGTAAAGCTTCACTGGCCAATTTTAGATTGACAGAAGCTAGCTGAAAGGTCAGGGCTACCATATCCAGGCTGTAAAAATCTGACAGCCGCTAGATGTCAACAATATGTAATAGCTTTCTATATCTCTTTCTTGCCATCTATTGATTGTTGCAGCCCAGATATAGTAGCGCAAAGAAAAATGGGTTCTCTCGCTGTTACAGCAATTATTATATTTATTAATGTTGTTGTATTATTGATATTCAAAATATCTCCTAGCAGTATATACAGTATACAAAGAAATAAATACTAAAAACTTCAAAGCAGCATCAATATATACATTACTATAATATACATTATCATGAGCCAGGGTGGTACAGTGGTTAGAATGCAGTACTGCAGACTACTTCTGCTGACTACCGGCTGCCTGCAATTTGGCAATTCGAATCTCACCAGGCTCAAGGTTGACTCAGCCTTTCATCTTTCTGAGGTAGGTAAAATGAAGACCCAAATTGTTGGGGAAATATGCTGACTCTATAAATCGCTTAGAGAGGGCTATAAAAGCATTGTGAAGCAGTATATAAGTGCTATTGCTACTATAGAACTAATCAGTAGTTAATCATATATACGTACGTGCGTATAGACACACACACACACACACAATTCTGAAACCATTAGAATTATATATCAGAATATTTGATTTTTATGAATTGAAATAATTGTATTTTACACAAATATAATTTCCAGTTTTGAAGAATCTGAGATAAATATTTTTTTTAAAAAAAAGCCATGGGATTTAGGCTTGAACAGGCATTTGTCCTTGGGTCTCCTAGGCCCTTTCTAGACACTATCTCCTGGAAAATATTTGCTTTCATACATGTAATACAACGTGTCTATACATATGCTTTTTCATGGTATGCTGCAATCTTTTAAATGTCAGATATCTTCTAGCCAAATTCAGTGAAAACAAGAGAAATACTGGCTACCTGAATATATATCACAAACACATTTTAAGAATTTTAGTGCACTTGAAGCAACTGTCAATGTTTAAATGCTGCTGCTTAAAAGAACAGAAACAATACTTGCCCACAACAAATATTTGATCTTACCCAAAGATGCTATTCCAAACATTCGATAGAAATCCCATTCCTTGGCATATCTAATGAAATCATCAGGATCAGTACTTTGACTTGAATCCTGTAACTGCAGCCACCTGAGATAAGCTTCGCAAAGTAAACAAAATATGCAAAGCTTCCCATGAATCTGCGGTAGGAAAGAATATTAATGTCAAATGCCAATACTGTACAATCAAAACATTGATAAGCCTGGTAGGCTTATCATGTTTTACTAATACAGTTAAGAAAGCCTGTACAGGTCATTTGAGCTCATCCACCGAAGAACAGCTAACCAAGCTATGGGACATGCTTTGAAGTCTTGAATGACTTCATATATTAGAAATGAATCTGATACAGAACTCAGCTCAGACTGGGATCTAGTCCTAGACTCCCAACTTAATTCATGGATTTGTACCAGATCCAAATTTTACATATACAGCCTATATTTCAATTTTATATAACTATAAAAATCTACATGTAAAGCCTACATTTCAGGGCATGGAAATTGATGGTGTTAAGCATCATATTGTGAAGTATTAATACATATTAGATATCAGACACAAAATGGAAACAAGCACTAAGTTGACTTCCAATTAACTATGATATAATCGTTCAGACGGTAGATAAAAAGAATTGAAAGAGTAGAAGCAACAATAACAGATGCCAGAGGAGTGGCTGTTAGTTGTAGGCCAAAAGATCATTCAAGGCAGGAATCAGGAAGTTCCAGTTAAAATGATTTGTCCACTAAACAACAGCATTGAACTGCAATGTATAGAGAGACTTCCAGAAAACATAGATGTTATTAATTCTCTCTGTGTATTGTATAGTTATCCAAAGCCATGCTGTTTAATAGTGGCTATAGTTGTCCAGTACATCTCCAAAGTGTCCTTTATTTTGATCAATTCCTCAATTAGGATTTTTAAACTTTTAAAAGTTAAATCCAATATTGCAATTTTTAGCATAGAAAGCCAATTAAAGTTAATATTGCCAGGTCCAAAGCAAATTAGCTTTTTCATTAGCTTGGAGCAAGATTGACAGATCCTAGGGCAAATTAAGACAAGAAGCAGATACAACAGAAACTTACATTTATTTTTGTATTGAACAAGATATGTCTGTATGCTTGTGCTTTGCATAAGATAGCATTAATTAAGATGATGACAAGATCATATTCTATATATTTGTCCACTGGCTTCTGGCAAGATTTCTGAAGGTAACAAAGGAAAAGCAATGTAATATTTGCAGTAACATTACAGAAAAGAAACACTTATTAAAAACTCTTAAGAATTTTTAAAGTTCTCTTATGAATCAAGAGTTATCAAGGATATTATTTTAAGTTTTATACTGTAGTTTTCACAAAGTAATATTTCTGTCACAACAATAAAAGAAAGTAATATTTTCATTTTTTACCCGGTATTAAGTTTAGCAAGTGTAAAGAGAAATGATTTGAAGAAATAATCAAAACAATTTAAACAGAGATAAGTAATACATTTTTAACACAATATAAAAATATTTAAATAGCAGGTTGTGATTAGGGAAAAAAAGAACATAAAAGAAAAAATGAAAAAGGCAAGGATATTTGGATGTTTTTTCTTACAGGCACATTTTTTCTTTTTTGCTCTTTTAAAAATTATTTTATTATTTTTAACCACTATATTAAATCTCAGTTTTTGAATTCTTACTCCAATCCTCACGCCAGTGTAGTTAATGCACTGTGTTATTAATAATAATTTTTAAAGATAAATAACAGATGTATGTATTCTATTCTCCCTCTACTTTTTACTGTTTTGTTTTTCCTTATGCTTTTATTTCATTAATAAAAATCAAAATTATGTTTTAAAAAATTAGCCAGGGTTCAGACATACAACCAATGCAAAAAGTTAAGATTAAAAAGATGCATTCATTTGTGAAGAACTTTTAACTTGTATCAAAATACATATATATGCATTTGAAAATGCAAAGCTAAATTTATGGTTTGTTTACAAGATAATCTATGAGATCATAAAAACATGATCTGGTCTTTCAACACAGGAAATACAAATGCATTCCAGACATACACCAGTCATAGATCACGGGGGGGGGGGGGGGGGGGGGGGCAGGGGGCAGTTTGCATGCCGCAGCAGTGGAAGAGACAACTTGAACACTGGGGATTATTAGGAAATGCACAGCAAATCTGATTTTGCCATGATATGTCTATTGCATAATTACATATTGTTGAACTGTTCATTATATTTATCTTAAAAATAATGCAGAGCTGAAAAAGATAAGGATTAAAAAAAGGACAAATCACCTCTGGGTGGTTGGGGGCTACATTTTAATATTATGGGGAACTTTAAGGCATGCAGAGATCAGGGAGATTAGAATTTCGTTGTTTGTTACATTTGCTGGAACTATATCATGGTATATTTACTTGATTTTTTTTAAACAGTACTAACATATGCTTTATTCAAGACATGAGACTGTGTTCACCAACTTCCAGAAAAAATACACAGAAACACTTCTAATCCATAGAATATATTTGATCAAGGAAAAGGATGGTATCTCACATTTTGATTGGCATCATAATTACATAAATATACATTTCAACTGCTATTTGATGCAAGTGAATATTAACTGCTAAGTTTGATTTCATTCTTGCTATAAAACTTCTTTGATAAAATCTATATATTTAAATAAGGAAATGCCACTCACGTATAATCACAAAATCTCCAGAACCGTAAAGCCTACAAACTTGAAATTTGGCACGTAGGTTCCACTAAGAAAGGATTTTTCAAAATGACCATCAGAGCATTAGTATTTCATATATTATTATTAACATGCTCTGATGCTAAGGAGTTCTACTCCTCTTCCCCACTTGAAAAGAAATCTGTTCCAAATGCAAAACACAAGCAGGAGAGGAATTTCAGTTTCAGAGCAGCAAGCAGCTGTAGTACAGAACAGTTGACCTAAGCCGGGCCCAGGCTCCTTGCTGTCTCCTTACTTACACAGCAAATACTGTTTCAGTTTCCATGCAGCCCTCAACTCTCTCACACACTGACAAGACGCTAGCCAGATGAATACCACTGGATGCTGATAGGCAGAGGTAGTTCCCCCCGCCCCTTATGTTCCTCCCCCAAAACTAAGCACAATCACATAGTATCGTAGCGAAGCACAGGTATCCAGTTAGTAAAATATAGTGGAGATTATAACCAAGAACCTCCATTTTAGTTTTTACATTAACCAAAATCTGTTTTATTAGGTTTGAAATAATAAACCTGCTATAGAAGGTTGACATTGGAAAGATACAACTGTAGTTAAAACCTCTTATATTGACTCTTCCCACTACAGCGCTATGGTATCCAGTTCTTCTAGTAGTTATACTAGCTGTCAGTTGCCATTATTGTGGAAACTACTTTTTTTATTTATTTTTGAAACAGAAAGTGTTTCATGAGGGAAGTGAAGCATCTTTAAGCATCTTACTTAAATGATATTTTCCTTTCTCCCCAAAAACTTATTTCAAAAAATAAAGGAGGCTGAAGGATAATGGCTGTGCTGAATTGAACTGTAGTCAATGGGAGAAAATAGCAGAAGTAGAAAAGAACAACCCTGTGCCAGGGAATCTCCGTTATTTCCTTTTGCTCAATTACGGGCCTTTCATTCCCTTGAATTTCAATTCCATGTGACATAGCGGCCCATGACAGGCCTCCTCACTCTTTTGTGGCCTCTGGGCACATTTAGATTTCTGAGAACATGTCATACTCTCTCCTCATGAGACCTAATTTTCAGTCACCTAATTTTCCTCTTCCTTTTTTATGTACTCTGTTTTCTCTTTAACAGTTTGGTGCCCAAAAATGAAAATTATAGTAAATGGTTAATTCTGAGATCTGGAAACCACACTTCTGCCAACGCACAGTTACATTATATTTGCCCATTTATCATTTTGACTGCTGACTTATGTTCTAGTTGTCATCGATTCCAGGATAAGTTTCATATATACTATTACTAGTTCACATATATAGCAATGCTTAAGTTTGAGAGTCATTTTGAATTTTCAATGTTACAGCATTAGTAAAATTAGATAAACAATAGATCAATAAAACCTGATCTATTCTCCAGTTACAACTCCTAAAACTAGATAAACAGAACCCAATCAAACAATTAAGTCAAAAACATTATACTAGTTCATTTATTTATTGAGGCAAATGATCCAAAACTTCATATTTGTGTGTGCCAAAAGTATATGAACTATGGCTTTCAGTAATTGGTGTGCCCTTCTTGGGCAGCAATAACTGCATCAAAATATTTCCAGTAACTGTTGATCAATCCTGCACATCAGCTTGGAAAAAGTTTAGCCCATTTCTCTTTACAGAACTGCTATAAGAGATATTGGTGGGCTTCCTCACATGAACTTCCGCTTCAGGTACTTCCGCATTTCTTTAGGATCAAGGATTAAGATTAATTTAGGATTTTGACTTGGCCATTTAAAAACATGAAGTTTCTTTTGCTTTAACCATTTTTTGGTTAAGCTTGTATGTTTTGGGTCAATGTGTTGCTGCATGACCCACTTTCCCTTGAGCTTTAGTTCATGGACTCTGACATTTTCCTGTAAAATTTGCTGATATAATTCAAAAGTTATCTTGGTCCAGGTGCCACTGCCACCCTCATGTTTCAGATAGGATCCTGGAATATAGTGTTTGTCTTTTACCGAACATAATGCTTTTCATTCAAACCAAAAGGTTCTATTTTGGATTCATCTATCCACAAAACTTTAGCCTCTTGGCTTATCCACATGGTCTCTCACAAAATGTAGATGGGCAGCAATGTTCTTTTTAGAGAATAGTGGCTTTCTTCTTGCAACTCTGCCATGGGCACCATTGTTATTCAGAGTTTTCCAGATGGTTGTGCCATGAACACTGACAATGGCCAATGCAAGAGAGCCTTTAGTACATATAGACATTATCCTGGGTTTTTTTAAAGCGTTCCCAGAGTATTACGTAACTTGCTTTTGGGGTGATCTTGGTTGGTCAACCAAGCCTAGAAAAGGTAAACATGAGGTTGAATTGCCTCCATTTGTACATGATCTGCTTGACTAATGGAATCTGAACTCTTTGAAAATAGTCCTGTAATCTTTTCCAGCCTGCTGAGCATCAGCAACTGCTTTTCAAAAGTTCTCAGAAATCTCATTTTATTCAAGCACACATTTTCACACAAAGTGAGCTGTAAAGATCAGACTTCCGTTATTTAATAAGGCACAACTTGCCACAGTCACACTTGATTATCATCCCATTGATTGAAATACTTGACTCCAGTTTACCCTTCAAATGATAAGCCTAGAGGTTCACATTCTGTTGTCACAAATAAATTTGTAGCTTTGCATAATTTTCCTCAGTGAATAAATGAACAAATACATTTTCAATTCTTTTATTTAATTGGGTTCTCTTCACCTAATTCTAGGAATTGTGTGGAGAACAGATCATGTTTTAGAACATACAGCATTTGTGCAGAAATATTGGAAATTCAAAAGGGTTCACTAACTTTTAAACACAACTGTATTGTTACCAAGCAGGTATCTTCCATCATAACTGTTCATTCAATTTTACTGAAACATATATTTGCATTTGAATTCAATTAAACACTAAAGACAGCTATAAAAAAGTTTTTAAAAACATCTATAGTCATAAAAAGCCAGCTGAATTCAAAGTAACTAAATAATGCTGGAGTGGATTGGACTAGAAATAAAGTAATTGAAAAAAACAGATAGACAGGAGTTTGAGGAGCATGACAGCAATATCAGAGAGATGAAACATGGAAATGTTTAATCAAATATTGTGTGAAATCTATTAAGGAACATATTGTTTTAACAATGTGATAAACGATATACACAGTTCTCAAAAGAAGAAATCCACACAGCACATTTGGAAAATAATAAATCATATCCATGTTAGGCTCAGTGTATTTTCTACCACTACAGTTTCACATCCCATAATATATTTTACCAATACGTAACAGGACATCTAGGTTAAACAAGATTATGCTGAGTATCCCCTACATGTTTCAGAGACACACAAACACTAGCCTTGCTTTAGGATGGGGAATTGTCTGAACAAACGTCTTGCAAGTTTAGGGTTTTAGGGTTGGATCGCTAGAAGCCAAGGTTTTCCAAATTGTGAGATGTACCTCCCCTTTTGGGGCAGTACAAAGTCCGGGTATGAAGAATCTTTTAGTCACATTGTTAAAATAATTCCAACTTTCTCACAGTTCCATTGCATTATTGTCATTGTTCATTTGTGTTCATTTTGGTGTTTTGGATTTTTAGGGGACGTGTGTACATTAAGATAAAGGGAGGTGCGACGGCAAAAAAACATTAGGAACCCCTAACTTAAAAAAGCTTTCAAATATCTCCAGGCTGTAAAGGACTTCATGTTGAACAGAAATAAAACCTCACTATAAATAAGATTTATAATTAGCACTAAACCTAAAGGTAAAACTTCAAAATTCAGAGAGGACGTCGATACTCTTCCCGTCAAGGATTACGCTAAGAATTCTAAGATCCTCTTGGATCCGGGAACTAATATTGAATAACTACCATAATATCAATGCAAGGTGGATCTATCAATTCGAAATTCCTGCTTCTTCACATAACTCACGCAGATAGAGATCCGCAACACACCACGTTGATAATCCTTGTACAGCTCACTCGCTTTTGTACTGCATTCAATACAACGGTAACATGCAGACTCCTCCATTTTCCCAGAGGAAAACAAACCCAGAAAAAAACTCTTGCGAAAGGTGCTTTACTTCGTTCGCTTCCGCATTCCGCTCGCAGAGCCGAAAACCTTGCCGGAGCATCTCGGTATTCGTAGTTTCGCGCTCCATACTCAGCGCAGTAGAATTCAGGGCATAGAACTACAATTCCCAGAAAGCAACTCGCTCGCCCGCTGGTTGCCCGGGTCTCTGAGGGAGGGGAAACGCGAAAAAGATAGATTAATCTGCGCAGGCGTGGTAGGAAGATGGCACCCGCTTGCGGCAGTCGGGGCTCGTGGCCAAGCGTTGCAGAGGCGCTGAAGTTCTTTTGGGCGCTGCTGGCGGTTATCCGGCCGTTGCTGGTTCTGACTGAGCAGTACCCTTCGTTGTCTCTGCGCCACCAGCAAGGGAGCAGTTGCTGCCCCGGGGTTTGGGAGGCTGATTGGGATGGGGAGCAGCAATACGCGGCAATTGCCGGAGACGGTGGTGAGTAACTAGGAGAAAGAAGGAGCCGGAGGGACCGGGCAGTAGGATGACCTGGGCTGGTTTCGACGGCAAGAACGGCGAGTCTATAGTGGAGTGCGTCGTTTCACCCAAAGATTCAGCAAGTCAGGGAATGACTTCCATCAGTGTTTTTCAAAGATGTTAATTTTATGGTGTGTGCACTTCAACTCCCAGAATTCTCTTGCTGGCTGGGGAATCCTGGAAGTTGAAGTCTACACATCTTAAAATTGCCAAGTTTGGAAAACTGTGCTCTGAAGCTTAATGTCTGAAGAAGGGCTGGAATCCAACAGGAGCTTGGAGACAGTTGAACAAGTTGTGCTTCTAGGCTAGGGGCTGAAACTGGTGGAGTTCAATTTTTGTTTACTATCGGTTCTGTGGGCGTGGCTTATTTGGTGGGTGTGGCTTGTCATGTGACGGTGGGCGTGCTTGGTGGTCATGTGACACAGAGTGATCTCTTTTTTTCTTTCTCTACCTTCTTTCTCACACACACACAGGTACACACACCAGTTAACAGACAAGCATTTTGAAAGCAGCTCCTTTAAATTTCTCCAAGGCTTGAGTGGATTCCTCCATCCCCTCTGTCAGACCGCACTCTTTCTCACTCCCGACACTTTAACTGACACGGGGAAAGCGATATTTGCAGCGTCCATGCCTTTCTTCTTTTTCCCCCGGGGAGAAAGAGGACGTGGGGAACGGAAAGCTAGGAGAGCGATTGCAAGTGAGCGACTGGGTGACCGGGTTGGGGGTATGGCCAGCCAAGGATTGCACCGGTTCGGTGACCCATGCCAAATAACTGCTATCGGTTCTCCCTAGTAGGTGCAAACCGGTTGAATACCACCTCTGGGATGAAATGCCATCTTGTCCGGTAAAGGAATTGCACCCTTGTAAGGATGAGGTGGCTAGTTGCAGGGCGTTGGCGGATAAACAGGGTTGTACCTGTGTGGACAATTTTAGGCAAGCCAGTTAATGGATTTTGCTATCTGGGTCACTTGTGTGGCATGAATTTTGGTTAGTAGGCTTGATGAAGACAGGATAGTTAAATTTGGCTTGACTATAGCCCTGCCTTGGGAGAGTAAAGAGAGGAGATTGGCTGTGGGGTCTATAAGAAGTCAGAAATACCTTTTTGAAAGAAATGGTGATAGTAACTTCTTCAAAAGAGATGAGTAGGCTACCATGATGAAACCTTACATAAATTGGGAAGATTAAAAACATTTGTAGGCTGGCTGCTAATACCACCTTTTGTAGTGTGGTACTTGAACTGATCATTTCAAGAATGATTTTCTTTACTTTGGCTTCAGGCCTGCCTTGGCAGATACCACCTTAAATGCCTTCTTGATAAAGCAAGACTGGGAGTCTATTTCTGTTAGTTTGGGATCCCTCAATATATTTTCATATTGGTGATGACACCCTTCTGGACCAATTCAAAACACTATGTTTGACCTAAAAAACTACTTAATAGTTTTGATCAGGTTATCTGAAGGAAAATTATTATTTTTGTTTGTTTGTTTATTAGGCTCCTACGATTCTTCCCTAGGCCTTTCTCTAGCTATTCTAGACCAGTGAGGTATGAGAAATTGTGAAGCGGTTGAGAAACAAATGGGAGGAACTCTAGACATAACATTCAACAAATGGATAAGGGAACTTGTTAGTAGCTTATTTCATAAATGGCAGCTCAGTCCAGATTGCAAATGAGATGCAAAATATTTAAAGAGACTACGCCTCAGTGAATTCATTAATATAGGAGAGGGCTGGAGATTGAAGCCTATGTGATGTTTTCCTGCTTCATTGTGCCCTTCAGCACGGAACTAGACTGGTGGTGGCATGTTATTCTTTTATGAATAATAATAGAAGGACCAGAGATGTTTATCAGAAGAAAAATATTCTGTTAGGTGTGATGAACAAATGAGGGAGAACAGAAAACAGTGATCAGACTATTCAGTGACTCTAGAATAAATTAAAATGAGCGAGAATCACTTAGAAAAACTTTGTTCTGGATACTGTATGTGATTTAAGCATATGTTTATTCATATATATACATGGCAAAAGACTGGATATAAAGTTAAAGGATAATTGATTATGATGAAAGCGATAATTTATGAGGGACACAATAATTGGTTCTGAATACGTGAAAGAGCATTTCATAGTGTTGAGTGAATCTTTGGAAGAAAAGGAAAATAATGAAAAAGCCAAGAATAAAAGTGGAACAACTGCAGGAAAAGAAAGTGGGGCCTTTATGAAAAAGTATTACTAGATTACTCTTCCCAAAAGACTGAAATGGACTTAAAAGAGAATGTGGAAGTTGGAGCAGCAAACAGAATTATGGTTAAAGGCAGCTGCAGAAGTGTCTGGAATTTCAATGTAATTGGATGTATGAAATACAATAATTGGAAGTATAAAGTGGAGAAGGCTATAAAAGGAAAACATTCATGTAAGATTAAAAAAGGTAAAGGTTTCCCCTGCTCAGCCATGTCCTAGCTGAAGGAGTGTTGTCTGAAGGAGCATTGCTTCCATGGTTATGTAGCTACATGTCTCCCCCGCCACATCTCTCTCTGTATATGTATATATATATATGTGGATCTTTGGTTGTTCGGGTTTTCTCCCGCGTAAGATTCGAAGTATCTAGGCAACGTTTCGATGAAGTCTCATTCATCATCTTCAGGCTTCTGTCTCCGGCTCTGTGCTTTTCAGAGTAATGTGAGATTGCAGCTGCTTCCTCCTTTTAACTGCCAGTGGGGGTGGGACTTGATTGGGTGGGGGCTTGGCTGTGTTCTGATTGGGTGGGGGTGTGTTCTCATTGGTAGGGGGTTTGGTTGTGTTCTGATTGGTTGGGGGGTTAGCCGTGTTCTGATTGGTTGGAGGCGTGTTCTGTTCAGGTGGGGGCTTGGCTGTGCTCCGGTTAGTCTTAGTTGCTGGGGGATTTGAGCTGGTGAGTTGTGATCTTGCTGTTTGGCTTCTAGTTCGTGGTCCTGTTGCATCTTCATAGTGGGTGTCGGTTTGCTTCATGTATGGCTCGGAGGGGTTTGAAGTGGGTAGTGATGCAGCTGTAGTGCAGCTTCTGGTCCATGGTCGTGTCTCATCTTCTGAGTGGGTGAGAGTCTGTTTTCTACATGGAAGTGTGGTGGTGGCATCTTGTGTGGCTCTCATGGGTGTGGGTCTGGTGTTCTTCTTCATGTTAGGTACTCGTCTGTTCATGAGGGCGGGTTTCCAA